CGCGTGCTATATCACGCCCCCCTCTCTCACGCGACACTACGTCGCCCTTTGCGCCTAGTGCGCCCCTACGCCGTCACGCCCCCCCCCCCTCCCCTTGCGCTAAATTTCAGCGCCCCCCTCCCTCCTTTCTACAGTCAATTCCGCCTCTCGCGGCTCTCCCCTCTCTCCCACTAACCCATCAACCGTCGGAACGGCCACGCCAACCGTCGGAACGATCCGCGCAACCGTCGGAACGATCCGCGCAACCGTCGGAACGACCAGCGCGACCGTCGGGACGGCCAGCACGAGCGACGGAACCCTAATCGCGGGCGGACGCCACACCCGCGACGAACGACGGCCGCGGACGCGACGAGAACGGGCGACCGCCGCGGACGCGACCAGCGGGGGCGGACGCCGCGGACGCGACCAGCGCGGGCGACCGCCGCGGACGCGACCAGCGGGGGCGGACGCCGCGGACGCGACCAGCGAGGGCGGACGCCGCGGACGCGACCAGCGCGGGCGGACGCCGCGGACGCGACCAGCGCGGGCGGACGTCACGGACGCGACCAGCGAGGGCGACGCTGCGGACACGACCAGCGCGGGCGGACGCCGCGGACGCGACCAGCGAGGGCGACCGCTGCGGACGCGTCCAGGAGCAGCCGCGTGTCGTCAAGGCACAGCTGCAGGCGACGAGGCGCAGCCGCGGGCGACGAGACGCAGCCGCGGGCGACAAGGGGCAGCCGCGGGTGACGAAGCGCTGCCGCACGCAACGTGACCGCGCCACCCCTCCAGGTGGTGTCGTCTTTGACCGCACCCGCCCTCCAGCCGGTGTCGTCACCCTCTCCCCCCCCCCTCCTCCCCCCTCATGGCGGACGACTCTACTCCCATTGAACTCGGAGCTATCGATAAGCTCGAACTCCTCCATGACACTACGGCCGTGAACTGGGCGTCGTTTGAGGACACACTTCACACCCACCTTGGCTCTGTCATTGTTCAAGACTACTGTCTTCTTGATGTAGTTCTTGAGCACCCTAACGGCCTTCCACCCGTCCCCCCTCCTCCTCTTGAGCCTCCTCCTCCTGATGCCCCTCCTCCCCCAGAGCCTCTGTCTGATCCCCTTCGTGCCCCAGTTCATGATGACAACCCAGATCGATGGGCGGCCAACTTGAACAACTACAACAAGCTTCGCGATGCCTACACCATCCAGCGTGAGGCGCACCGTGCTGCTGAGAAGGCTCACGCTGATGCTACTGCGCGTATCCTCTCCTACGCACAGGATGAGAAAGACTATGCTGATGAACTTCGCAAGTTCAACAAGGATACTGCAGCATGGCGAATTGCGGATCGCCGCGCTCTAGCCATTATCTTCTCCTGCATCCCTTCCCATCTCAAACGTGACCTCCGCCCCACCTCCTCCTCTGGCCTCTGGAAAACCCTGTCCACTCAGTACGACCGACAGGACCTTCGCTCTCTCCTTGCTCTCTTTCGCAAATTTCAAGACACCACTCTTGACTCATCCCCCACTGCTGCTGCCTTCACTCGGCGCCTCATCGACACTGCGCAACGTCTCAACGACCGCGGCATTGTCATTCATGAATCACTTCTCACTGCACGCATCCTCGACTGCCTTCCACCCACATACGATACCTACCGCATCACCTTTACCTCTAGGTACCGCCATCCTCCTCCTGTGGCTGACACAATCGACTGGCTCCTTGACAGCGAAGCGGACATCCAACGTGACTCCACCACCATCAATGCTATCCAGGCTCGCAAAACTCCCGCAGGCAACCACAGCAGCGGCGGAGGTAGCGGCTCAAGCGGTACTGGCGGTGGCGGTGGTGGACGAGGTGGTGGGCGAGGCGGTGGACGCGGTGGTGGTCGTGGTGGCGGCCGTGGTGGGCGTGGCAAAAACCCCTCTCCCTCGGGTACCCTTCCCCCGTGTCAGTACATCATTCGCTATGGCTCCAACAAAGGTCAGCCTTGCGCTCAAACCACTCACACCACTGACACGTGCTTCAAAGCCCTCACTGATGAGTGGTTTGCACGTGGCAATGTCGGCACCCCACCTCGATGGAACACCATCTTCCCGCGCCCCTCTCTCCATGACATACGCACTCTCCCCGCCTATCAACCCTCCACCCCTAATCTTCACAATGTCCTCACTGAGCATCTCCCATTTCATATCCTCCAGCAAGTTCAACATCTTCTCCCTTCATCTCCCCCCACTGACCCTCCCCCTCTCCCCACTGACCCCCCCCCTCCCTCCCCACCCCCTCCCCCTCCCTCTCCATCCCCTCCCCCCCTGAACTCTCCCCCACCCCCTCCCCTCTCCCAACCTCCACCCTCCCCATCTCCTCCTCCGCCCCCTTCCCCTCCACCATCTCGGCCCTTACTTTCGTCCCCTCCTCTGCTCCTTCGTCACTACCCTCACACCCGCTCCACAGTCCCCATCCTTGGTCCCCCACGGTCCAATCACCTCTCCCTCCAGTCTCTCACATCCATTCCACTCCTCCACCACTCTAGCACTTCCCCACTCCCCCGCACCAGCCCCTCAGGTTCTCACACCAGCCGCGCTCCCGTCTCCCTGCCCCTCACGGCAACTCAGCGCAGCAGAGCAGCATTGCAGCTGTCTCCTCGCCCCGACCCTCGGCGCAGCAGAGCAGCAGTGCAGCCGTGTTCCCGCTCCAGCCTGACCCTCCAGCGCAGCTGTCTTGCATCTTCACCGCCTCCTCTTCCTCCTCCTCTCTCTCCGGACCTCTATGAAGACTCTCATGATGAACTCCTTTTCCTCCACCTCCTCTCACCCACCATCGCCCCTGTCGTCCGCACCATGGCTGGTACTACGGTCCTTCTTTTCTCCAACACCCCCACCATCTACGAACCCACCACCTACGAGCAAGCAATTGCATGTCTTGACGCACCTCTCTGGATCGAGGCCATGGTCAAGGAATGCAACGCCTTCATCCACAACCGCTCTTTCCTCGACGTCCCTCGCCCCTCCAAGCACAACGTGGTCAAAGGCAGGTGGCTCTTCCGAGTAAAACTACTCCCTGGTGAAGCTCCTGTCTACAAGGCTCGGTATGTGGCGAAAGGCTTTACACAGACTTATGGCTCGGACTTCTTCGAGACCTACTCACCTACCGCCACTCCGCCGGTCATTCGCGTGTTTCTGGACTTCGTTGGCAGACGCGGGATGCTCCTCCACTCCATGGATGTCACCACGGCCTTCTTACAAGGCGACCTCCACGAACTCATCTTCTTGGAACGTCCCAAGGGCTTCCACGCTCCTCACGACCCTGCCACCGTCTGGAAACTACTACGCCCTGTTTACGGGCTCAAACAAGCACCTCGAGAATGGCACGCCAAACTCTCATCCACCCTTCGCGCACTTGGCTTTCGCCCCTCCCGTGCTGCCTCTTGCCTCTTCCTTCGCTTAACTCCGTCACCCTTCTTCATCCTCGTCTACGTCGACGACATGCTGCTAGCAGCTGAGACAGCTGCTGAACTTCAGGAGGTCAAGGATGAGCTGCAGCAACGTCTCGCCTGCAAAGATCTGGGGGAAGTCCGCAACTACCTTGGCATGGAGATCACCCGCGACCTCACTGCCAAGACTATCACCCTCTCTCAGTCATTCTACATCGGGAAGGTGCTCGAGAGATTCGGCATGTCCAAATCCAAACCCATCCCCACACCACTTGCATTCGGGCATCGGCTGTCCCCTCCAGCCACTCCTGTCACCTCCCCTCATCCCTATGCAGAACTCGTTGGGGCCCTGATGTACGCCATGGTCTGCACTCGTCCCGACCTTGCATACCCCGTCAGTGTCCTGGCGCGGTTTGTTGGCACTGGCAGGCATGGTGAGGAGCACTGGAAGGCGGCCATGCGTGTTCTGCGCTACCTCCAAGGCACAAAGGACTATGGCCTCACGCTTGGTGGTGTGGACCCACCTGTTCTTCAAGGCTTCAGTGACTCATCTTGGGCGGATGCACAGCCGGACCATCGCAGTTCTCAAGGATATGGCTTCTCCCTTGGGAGCGGCCTCATCAGCTGGCGCTCCACTCGCTCCTCCTCCGTCGCCCTCTCCTCCTGCGAAGCCGAGCTGTACGCAGTCACCATGGCGGCTCAAGAGGCACGCTGGCTTAGCTATCTTCTCACCGACCTTGGCTCACCACAGCCCTGCCCCACCCTGTGGTGTGACAACGATAGTACCATCCACCTCACCAAGGAGGCCGTCTTTCATGGTCGCTCCAAACACATCGAACTCCGCTACTACTTTGTCCGCGATCTTGTGCAAGATGGTCACATCACTGTTCGTAAAATCGACTCGTCCGCCAACCTCGCTGACCTCTTCACCAAGGCTCTCCATCGCTCTAACCACTCTGCGCTCCTGCGCCTTCAGGGACTTGCTCCCCGCGGTGGCTGATTCAGGGGTTGTTGCGTTCTCTCTTCCAAAGCCTATGGATTTCTGCAGGTTAAGGGGTTGTGTCAGATTACCATCTTCATTGTAACCTGCATCATCATATAAGCTTTGACTAGAGATAGGCACCCAAACTTAGTTTGGGTGCACAACTAGGGTTTACCCTAGTTTGAGGTTGGAACCCAACCTTGGCCCAATTATTGGGCCCCCAAGGTTGGGTTGGGAGATTATTGGCCCCCCCAATAATGTTGACCCACTTTTGGTCAACATTATTGGTCCCCCCAATAACTCCTCAACCCAACTTATTGGTGGGGGCCAATAATGTTGGCATGGCTCCTACATCCTAGCTCAACTATGTAAACCCATGCCCTTCCTAATGAAACTATCGGTTGTTCTTACACTTTCTCACAAGGGCAGGAAGGAGAAAGGGCAGGAAGGAGAAAGGGCAGGAAGGAGAAAGGGCAGGAAGGAGAAAGGGCAGGAAGGAGAAAGGGCAGGAAAAGATAACAGTAAGAGGTGGAAATGCGTACTCCAGCATAGCAGCTGAGCCAACAGCAGAGGCCGAAGCTTGGAAGCAGTGAAAGCACATGAAAGGTTGTGATCATGCAAGTATCCCATGATGCTTGGGCAAAGCAACGAACGATGGGGATGAGAGGGATGAAGAGAATAGCACCTGAGATTGCTGCATACGAGCACACACTCAAGCACACACCCTTGCTGCACCCATGTGCCCATGCACCCATGTGCCCATGCACCCATGTGCCCATCCATGCACCTATGCTTACTCCTGGCACCGACAGGCCAGACAGGGCTTACATGGCATGCGATGGGCGGGTGATGCCATGATGATGCCATGATGACGCCATGATGATGCAATATGATGTCATGTGCGTGATGATGCAATGATGTGCCATGATGCCATATGTCGGCATGACGTAAGACTATCGCACCTTTATTGCAGATGGTTGAAGGTTCTTGAAGTCAATGGGTGTGCCGAAATAAAAATACACTCTCTCCAGGCGACTGGGAAGGGGAATTAGGCTGGTGAGGGGAAGGACGGGGGGCGAGTTTTGAAGTCAGAGGAGAGTCAGCGAGTAAGCTCAACTCACCTCACCTCACTTATCTCCCATCACATCCCACACCCCACCCCACCCCACCCCACCCCACCCCACCCCATCCCACCCCACTGCATCCCACCTGGGGAATCTGGTGCCAGGAACAAAAGTGACAGGGCCGATGTCAGTGGAGGGATCAAGGCTGAGCGACTTGTACAAGAAGCGGAAGGACCTTCACATAGGGGAGGCCGTCCATCCCACCGCATCAAACCCCACCCCATCCCACGCAACCCCATTCCACCACGTCCCACCGAATCCCACCTGGGAAAGTTGGTGCCAGGTACGGTTGTCACCGGGCTGATGTCGGTGTCAGGGTCGAGGCTGAGCGACTCATACAAGGAGCGGAAGGGCTTTCCAATAGGGGACGCCAGCAGGTCGTTCCGATCCAATGCTATGTCAAAACTGGTTAGATTCGGGTGGATGGGGGCACGGGGAGGGAGGAGGGAGGTTTGGGATGGATGGAGGAAGATGGAGGTGGAATGAGGACTATGGTGGAGTAAGAAAGGGGAAGGAGGGACAAGAAGGAAAAGATACACATGAGACCGAGGCTCCGGAAGACTCACGCGTCGCCTGCGCCGACCATGGCGAAGGGCACAATGATGGTGTTGAGAAGAGCAGAAGGAGGAGAAGGGGGAGAGGCAAGCATGTGTTGCGGACCACAGCTGATTGGGTGTGCCATGACACTCTAGACTCACGCGTCGTCAGCGCCGACCATGGCAAAGGGCACAATGATGGCGTTGAGCTTCGCTGCCATGCGCATCATGCCACCGTCGCCACTGCTGCTGCTGCCGCTGCTGCCTCTGCTGCCCTCGCCCATGCCCCACCGCAGCTGATACTTCTCACCCTGGCTCGACGGGACGGGGAAAAAGGATGGATGGAGGAATGAAGAAAGGGTGCTGCCGGTTGTGGCGATGCCACAAGAGGATGGCGACGAGGGTGGCGGTGCCATCCTCTTGGCTCTGCCTCTGTCATCAGAGTAGCCTCTGCATTTCAGCGCTGTTTCAGGCGGATTCAAGCTTGCTGCGATTTGAGCCCTTTCAACTCCGTGCCATCGTCTTGGCCCTGCCTGGATGCACCTCTGTCATTCATTCCTCATGCCATTAGCTCAGGCAAACGGGTGCAAAAAGGTAATTCAAAAAAAAAAAAAAAAAAAAAAAAAAGAGGGAGATTCATTTTATGCTTGTGCATGGTGGCTTCATGGTTGGGGCCTGGCCCTCAACAATGAAGCCACCGTGACAAACTTTTGAGGCGCCTTAAAAGAAGCCACCGTGACAAACTCCCCACCACTCCTCTTCTGGCTTCTCCTCATCCTGCTACCCCTCTCTAGGGATGAGCAAAAAACGGGCTGGGCCCAGCCCGGGTCGGGCCGGCCCGGAAATGCCCTGGGCCGGGCCTCAAAATTTGGTTGTCGGCCCGGGGCGGGCCGGGCCGGCCCACATTGGGGCGCGGCCCGGGCCGGGCCGTTTTGGCCCGGTTTTGACCGCCGCGACAAATGTCGCGGGGGTCAAAATTGAGCTGCGCGACATTGTGTGCAGACTCAATTTCGAACTAGTTTGTCTCCCTTCCCTTCTCACCATAGTCTTCGATCTCTCTTAGCTGGTTTAGGCTTAACTATTAGTTAATCTAGAATTGACGTTGTTTGGCGCGACACTGCCTTTCACCAGGACGAAATCAGAACAGCCGTGCAATACAATTTCGTTCTAGGGTTTCGCCCTGAAGCTATCAAAAGAGAGTAATTTAACTCTGAAGCCTATACTGAAATAGCACCCGGGCCGGGCCGGCCCGGCCCAGGTCGGGCCATACACAGCCCGGGTCGGGCCGGTTGCGGCCCGACCACCTTCTGGGCGGGCTCGGGCCGAGGTTTTGCCATCACGGCCCGGGTCGGGCCAGGCCGGCCCGGCCCGCTTTTTTGGGCAGCCCGGCACGGCCCCTCAACCTCACCTCCCTCCCTCCCCTCCCCTCACCTCCCTCCCTCCCCTCCCCTCACCTCCCTCCCTCCCTCCCCTCCCCTCACCTCCCTCCCTCCCCTCCCCTCACCTCCCTCCCTCTCCCCTCCCCTCACCTCCCTCCCTCCCCTCCCCTCCCCTCCCCTCCCCTCCCCTCCCCTCCTCCCCTCCCCTCCCTTCCCCCCCCATATCTTCTCCTTTCCCCTTCTTTTCCTCCTCCATCTTTTCTCCCCTCCCCGCACCTCCCTTCCCCTTCCCTCCTCCCTCCCCCACCTTGAGGCGGCACGTTTCTTTGGAGCCCCCAGGGAAGACCAGCGCAGGCCCTCCCTCCTGACAGGTTAGTGCGTGGTGGGTCACATGGGAGTGGGTGGTGGGGAGATGAGGCAAATGGGAGTGGGTGGCGAGGGGAAGGAGAATGAGCGGGGGGAAGTGCAGTGAGGTGGGAGGGTGGGGAGAGGGGCGGGGCCCATGGGAGTGGGTGGTGGGGAGATGAGGCCCATGGGAGTGGGTGCGAGGGGAAGGAGGAAGATGCGGGGTTGTGTTTCGAGTCGAGTAAGAACCTCCTGGCTACAGGAGCACGTGCCCCTCCCCTGATGGGGTCCCAACGAGGCACATGGCAGTGCGTGGCGGAGGGGAAGGAGAAAGGTGAGGGAAGGACAAAGACTGCTGAGGTGGGAGGTGGGTGGTGGAAATAGCAGCGCAGACATTGACTTGACGGGATTACGATTATGTATGCGTTGACTTGTCCACAACGTATGCATAAACTTGAGACGGCTTTTTAAGTGATTACAACAGGAGAGACGGTTTTTGCATGATTGTTTAGAGCACCTTGAAGCAGTGGCAAGGAGGCAAGAAAATTATCGCTGTCTCAGCCACCCAATTCACGGCTATCGATAGGGACAAGAAGAAGAAGTGGCGACAGGGACAAGAGGAAGAAGTGGCGACAGGGACAAGAGGAAGAAGAGGCGACAGGGACAAGAGGAAGAAGTGGCGACAGGGACAAGAGGAAGAAGAATGATAAGGTACTTTTGAAGAATGATAAGGTACTTTTGAAGAATGATAAGGTACTTTTGAAGAATGATAAGGTACTTTTGAAGAATGATAAGGTACTTTTGAAGAATGATAAGGTACTTTTGAAGAATGATAAGGTACTTTTGAAGAATGATAAGGTACTTTTGAAGAATGATAAGGTACTTTTGAAGAATGATAAGGTACTTTTGAAGAATGATAAGGTACTTTTGAAGAATGATAAGGTACTTTTGAAGAATGATAAGGTACTTTTGAAGAATGATAAGGTACTTCTGAAGAATGATAAGGTACTTCTGAAGAATGATAAGGTACTTCTGAAGAATGATAAGGTACTTCTGAAGAATGATAAGGTACTTCTGAAGAATGATAAGGTACTTCTGAAGAATGATAAGGTACTTTCGAAGAATGATAAGGTACTTTCGAAGAATGATAAGGTGCTTTCGAAGAATGATAAGGTACTTTTGAAGAATGATAAGGTACTTTTGAAGAATGATAAGGTACTTTTGAAGAATGATAAGGTACTTTTGAAGAATGATAAGGTACTTTTGAAGAATGATAAGGTACTTTTGAAGAATGATAAGGTACTTTTGAAGAATGATAAGGTACTTTTGAAGAATGATAAGGTACTTTTGAAGAATGATAAGGTACTTTTGAAGAATGATAAGGTACTTTTGAAGAATGATAAGGTACTTTTGAAGAATGATAAGGTACTTTTGAAGAATGATAAGGTACTTTTGAAGAATGATAAGGTACTTTTGAAGAATGATAAGGTACTTTTGAGGCGCCTCAAGAGTCAAGAGCACCCTGTGAAGAGCAACAACGTACTTTGAGCAGCTCGTATAAGGCACGGGGCGACGCCTTGACATGACCAAAGCTGCAAGGGGGTGGAGATGGCATGGCATCGGTGGTACGAAATGGCATGGGTGGTACGAGATGGCATGGGTGGTACGAGATGGCATGGGTAGTATGGGATGTCATGGGTGGGATGAGATGGCATGGGTGGGATGAGATGGCATTGGTGGGATGAGATGGCATTGGTGGGATGAGATGGCATGGGTGGGATGAGATGGCATGGGTGGTATGGATGGTATCTCCTCACGTAACACATCACCTCACCTCACCTCACCTCACCTCACCTCACCTCACCTCACCTCACCTCACCTCACCTCACCACTTAAATACTCCTGGACTCATTTTCCTTGCGTACCTGAAAGACCCTCCCACAAAACGACCCGAGCCCACCATTTTCACAAGCACCACAACCCACCTCACTTGAACCAGCACCACAAGCATAAACGCACACCACTTGCAGCAGTATGTGGGCCAGCAAATTTAATGAGGCACCAGAGCCAGCATCTGAGCTAGAATCTGGAGCAGCATCTGAGCCAGCACCTAAGCCAGCACCTGAGGCAGCACCTGAGCCAGCATCTGAGGCAGCATCTGAGGCAGCACTTGGCCCTACACAATGGAGTACACCTCTCCACAAAATCTCCCACAAATGGCTGCATGACTTGAATTGAAGCAGCACTTGAAGAAGAACCTGACGGCACCTGACAGCACCAGCACCTGACAGCACCTGACAAAACCTGAGCCCACCTTTCCACGAGCTCTGCCAGAGATTCCTGGAGCCAGAAGCTGGGGTGCGCAAGACAGCGACACTTGAATCCCCTCATGTACAGCTGCGGAGAAAGGGGAGGGGAGGAGGAGAAGGGAGGGAGCGAGACGGGGGGGAGGGGAAAAGAGGAATGTGCAAGACAGTGACACTTGTACAGCTGCGCAAGGAGGAGAGGAGGGGGAGGCGAGGTAGGGGGAAAAGGGTAGAAGAGGGGAGAGGGAAAGGGAGAAAGAGGAGAGAAGAGGAGAGGAGAGGATTATTGACGAGATCAGCTTTGCCCTCGCTTGGGCAAAAGTCGGCGACCGGCTTGTGAATCCTCACCCGGGGGGGTCGGTTCGGGTTGGGTCAGATCGGGTCGGGTTGGGTCGGTTTGGGTCGGGTCGGGCCGAGTCAGGTTGGATCGGGTCGGGTTGGTTCAGGTCGGGTCGGGTCGGGTCGGGTTGGGTCGGTTTGGGTCGGGTCGGGCCGAGTCAGGTTGGATCGGGTCGGGTTGGTTCAGGTCGGGTCGGGTCGGGTCGGGTTGGGTTGGGTTGGGTGGAGCTGGAGTAGCTTTTGAGAATGCTCAAAACTCACTGGAGAAGCGGACCGACCCAGCCAAATCCCTGGGTCGGGTGATTCGACCTGACTCGACCTGACCTGACCTGACCTGACCTGACCTGACCTGACCTGACCTGACCTGACGTGTTTTGTTCACACCTAGATTGAACACAAGTAGCATGGCAACAAAACTGGCAGCCGGACGTTCCTACCGCAACGTCTACTCCCGCACACTCTCACTTGATGCAGCAGCATCATACTCTCACTTGATGCAGCAGCAGCATACTCTCACTTGATGCAGCAGCAGCATACTCTCACTTGATGCAGCAGCACCAGGCGTGCTGTCACACACACTCACTTCATAGAGCAGCAGAGGCGTGTCATAAAAACCGTAGATGGTGTGATTCCCCACAAACAGCACACTGCGACTGGGATGCTGGGCCAGCTGACGGTGAGAAAGCAGGAGCAGAGTAGAGAGGGCGGGACAGAGAGGCGGGAAAGAGAGGGGTTTTGAGTCGAATCAAGAGTCATGTAGAAGCCATAGGTGGTGTGATTGCCCACAAAGAGAACACTGCGAATGGGATCCCGGCCGGCCCGGCCCAGCTGATGGTAGAAAGGAGGAGCAGAGAGAGGGGGAGGGACCGAGAGGGAGGGAAGTAGGAGAAGGGGAAGAGGAAGGGAAGGTGATTCGCAGATGTGTGGTTTGCCCACAGCGACTGGGATGATGGGCCAGCTGATGGGGAAAGAGGGAGACAGAGAGGAGGGGACAGAGAGGAGGGGACAGAGAGGAGGGGACAGAGAGCGAGGGACAGAAGGTGGAAGAAGGAACAAAGAGACGGTGGAAGAACGAACAAAGAGATTGTGGAAGAAGGAACAAAGAGAAGGTGGAAGAAGGAACAAAGAGAAGGGAGTCAAGGAAGGGAGGATGAACCTATTCATGGTGCAATTAGCAGCAAGCAGAACAATCAAATCGGGAGGCAATCGAGCTGAGGGTAGTGGATAGCGGAAATGTAAGAAAGCAAGGGAAAAGTGGGGAGGACAGAACTGGTGAAGGGAAGATAGAAGTTTGAGGTGGAGCAGTGATGTACCTTGAAGGAGAGAGAAATCAGGAGAGTGTTGCAGTGCTTCCAGATCGGCATCTTTTGAGGCGCCTCAAAAATCACCTCAATGCAGAGGAAAATCAGGAGAGTGTTGCAGTGCTTCCAGATCGGCATCTTTTGAGGCGCCTCAAAAATCACCTCAATGCAGAGGAAAATCAGGAGAGTGTTGCAGTGCTTCCAGATCGGCATCTTTTGAGGCGCCTCAAAAATCACCTCAATGCAGAGGAAAATCAGGAGAGTGTTGCAGTGCTTCCAGATCGGCATGCAAATTCACCTCTCGCTGCACGCGCTGCAGATTGCCCTCGCCCACCACCAGCGGCGACACCAGTGTCTGGAGAGCAGAGAGAGAAGAGAAGAACGGAGTAGAGCAGGGGAGGGCAGAGCATAGCAGAGCGATGGGGGTATGTCAACACCTCTCACTGCACGCACTGCAGATTGGCTTCGCCCACCACCAGCGGCGATACCAGCGTCTGGAGCAGCAATGGGAGCGAAGCGAGCATGCAATGGGCGACACGTTCGAGCAATGGTGAGTACGGAGAAGAGTTGAAGGGGTCAGCAAGGTTGCCCTTTGGCTCATAGAATCGGGGTATGAACGCTTTCCTCCTTTCCCCCCTTCCGAGTACCACTTTTCCATCCACCTTTTCCACCTACCCCTATTCCATCCACCCTCCTTCCTACCCTTTTTTCATCCACCCTCCTTCCACCTACCAATTTTCCATCCACCCTCCTTCCACCTACCCTTTTTCCATCCACCCTCCTTCCACCTACCCTTTTTCCATCCACCCTCCTTCCACCTACCACTTTTCCATCCACCCTCCTTCCACCTACCCCTTTTCATCCACCCTCCTTCCACCTACCCCGTTTCATCCACCCTCCTTCCACCTACCCCGTTTCATCCACCCTCCTTCCACCTACCGTTTTTTCACCACCCTCGGTTCCACCTACCCGCCACGTGTCCATGCTTCTCCCAACCTCCTCATACAGCCGCTCCAACGCCCTCCCTTTCACCTGCCTCCTGCCTCTTCCCCTCCTCCGACGCCCTTCCCCTCGGCCTCTCTTTCCCCCACCATCTCCTCCACCACTCTCCCGCCCATCCCCTCTATAATCCCCCATCTTCTGCCCTTCAACTGCCCGTAAGCCCCCCTGATCTTCCAGAGTAGGCTCAGCCCTCCCATTGCTCCCACCTCCCGGCAACGCCTGGGTCGAAACAGCCTCAAAAGGGCCCCCTCCTTCTGCCTCCTCTCCCTCTCGACCAATCACAGCCTCCCTTGTTTCTCCTTCAATAGCTGTCTCATTCCCGTCACTTGCAATGGCTGAACGCTCGCCGCGCTCGTGCGGCAGCGCGTGATTGGTGGGAGCGAAGCCATGAGTGGTGAGGATGGCAGCAATGTCCACGTCAGCCTCCAACAGCACTGTGTGGCCGCTGAGGGGGGGAGAGCAGAGGGCGGGAGGGGGGGAAGGAAGGAAGAAAGAGAAGATTGAGGCACAAGGAGAAAGAGAAAGGAGATGAAGCACAAGGAGATGAAGTGGTGGGGGAAAGGGAAAGAGTGACCGTGGAGCACAAGGGATGGCAGCACGCCCCCGTCAGCCTTCAACAGCACTGCGTGACCGTGGAGAAGTGGTGGGGGAAAGGGAAAGAGTGGAGGGTGGGGTGGGAGAAACGAAAGGATGGAAGAGTGAGATTGAATTAGTTGCACAACAGAGATACAGGGAGATGAAGGTGTTAGAACAGGAGCATGCTTCGGACAGAAGGGTGGCAGGAATGTCCACGTCAGCCTCCAACTGCACTGTGTGGCCGCTGAGGGGGAAAGACGGGGAGGGGGAGAGTGGAAGAGGGAAGAGGAGAAAGGAAGGAAGGGAGTTTGAATCGCATGCATCCGGCCAAAGGGGGATGCAACAAGTTGCAGGGGGTTCAGCAGGGACAAGTGAGCTGGGTGTGACGCGACAGCAACAATAGGGAAAGGGGGGAGAAGGAAGAGGCGAGAAAGGGACACCTGGAGGAGACGAGAGGGTAACCTCGTGTGGAGGGTTACCTGGTGGGGAGGGTTATCTGGTGGGGAGGGTTATCTGGTGGGGAGGGTTATCAGGTGGGGAGGGTTACCTGGTGGGCAGGGTTACTTGGTGGGGAGGGTTACCTGGTGGGGAGGGTTACCTGGTGGGCAGGGTTACCTGGTGGGGAGGATGATTCGCTTGCTGTGTGGCAGTAGGTTGAGCAGTCGGCCTGTCTCCGCCACTGCTGGCAGCACCCTGTCCTTGGATGACGCCACCTGGTGTCACGGGAAGGGGGAGGGAGGCACGCATAGAGGCTACTGTTGAGGCGTCTCAAGAGAAAGAGGCTCCTGATGATGGGTATTATTGCTGGCAGTACTCTGTCCTTGAATGACGCCAACTGGTGGGATACGGAGGGGGGAGAGGGGTAGGCACAGAGGCTATTGCTGAGGTGCCTCAAAAGAAGGGAGAGCTGTCGGCCAGTCTCCGCCACTGCTGGCAGCATCCTGTCCTTGAATGATGCCACCTGGTGGCATGGGGAAGAGAGGTCCACTCAGAAATTAACTCGGAAATGCCACGTAAAATGAGGGTGTTTTTGAGACGTCTCAAAAACACCCTCATTTCACATGCCACCTGGTGGCATGGGGAAGAGAGGTTCACTCAGAAACCAAATCAACTCAGAAATGGTTTCAATTGAGTTGATGAACTTGAGTAGATTCTAGAACAGAGCGACAAACTAACAGGGTGGGCGTGTGGATGGATCGCAGCACGACAGCCCTGACTGGTCGTTCAGCAGCGACAGCAGCTGATATAGGCGCCTCTAAAGTGGACAAGTCACCCCCTGCTACCACACCCTACTCTACCAACATCGAGAAATCCTCCTACCAGCAGGGTGGGCGTGTGAATGGATCGCAACACGGCATCCGAGAGCCCTGTCTGGTCGTTGAGCAGCGACAGCCGCCACGACGCACATGCTGCCGGCACGTAGTCGATAGGCGACAGCACCCGCAGAGATGCCTCCCCACCTCCTCCTCCCCCTCCCCTTCCCCTTCCCACTCCCCCTGTAGTCGTGCCTGCTGGAGGGGGCTGGACTCGGCTGCGCTTCACCAGCAGAGGCAGTGCCACGTCCTGGCATGGCATGTGGAGGGCAGGCAGGGTGGGGGTGGGCAAAGGGTGGAGCGGCAAGCAAACAGTGTGTTGCTGTTGAGAGGCAAGCAAACAGTGTGTTGCTGTTGAGAGGCAAGCAAGAGCGAACAGAATCAGTGTAACTTCGGCAATTTCGTGAAGCGGCGGGGAAAAGATTAAGCCTTAGACAGTGGCTTATATGGCGAATGAAAGCGAAATCAAGAGACAAGCAAGTGAGAGAAAAGAAAGTGAGAGGAAAGCAAATGAGAGGAAAGCAAATGAGAGGAGAGCAAGCGAGAGGAGAGCAAGTGAGAGGAGAGCAAGTGAGAGGAGAGCAAGTGAGAGGAGAGAAAGTGAGAGGAAAGGAAAGCAAGTGAGAGTGGAATGGGTGTGACCTGGGCGAATTCGTAGAGTGGCGGGGGGAAGAATGCGAGGAGGCCTGTGGCCACACAGAGGCTGACGAGCGGGTTGTTGGTGGGGAAGGCCGTTGCTGGGTTGATCTGCTCGGCACGGGGTTGGCGTATGTTGCAATGGTGGTGGAGGATGAGATGAGGGGGAAAGGGGCGAGAGGGGGGAACGAGGGGAGAGGGGGGAACGAGGGGAGAGGGGGGAACGAGGGGAGGGGGAGGGGGGAACGAGGGGAGAGGGGGGAACGAGGGGAGAGGGGGGAACGAGGGGAGAGGGGGGAACGAGGGGAGAGGGGGGGGGAACGAGGGGAGAGGGGGGAACGGGGGAGAGGGGGAACGAGGGGGTTGGGGGCAAGGGGGCATATGAAAAGGGCAGCAGAGCAGGTCGTTGGTGGTGGGGAAGGCCGTTGCTGGGTTGATGTGCTTACCACCCGGCGGTGGTCAGTGGCATCAGTGGTGTACAAGGGGCGAAGAGGCACGGGGGAAGGGGACAAGCGTGCAAGGGGGAAAGGGGGAAGCGGCCAAACAAGGAAGAGGGCAAACAAGGAAGCGGCCAAACAAGGAAGGGGGCAAACAAGGAAGCGGCCAAACAAGGAAGGGGGCAAACAAGGAAGCGGCCAAACAAGGAAGGGGGCAAACAAGGAAGCGGCCAAACAAGGAAGGGGGCAAACAAGGAAGCGGCCAAACAAGGAAGGGGGCAAACAAGGAAGCGGCCAAAAAAGGAAGGGGGCAAACAAGGAAGCGGCCAAACAAGGAAGGGGGCAAACAAGGAAGCGGCCAAACAAGGAAGGGGGCAAACAAGGAAGCGGCCAAACAAGGAAGGGGGCAAACAAGGAAGCGGCCAAAGAAGGAAGGGGGCAACAAGGAAGCGGCCAAAGAAGGAAGGGGGCAAACAAGGAAGCGGCCAAACAAGGAAGGGGGCAAACAAGGAAGCGGCCAAACAAGGAAGGGGGCAAAGAAGGAAGGGGGCAAACAAGGAAGGGGCCAAACAAGGAAGGGGGCAAACAAGGAAGCGGCCAAACAAGGAAGGGGGCAAACAAGGAAGCGGCCAAACAAGGAAGGGGGCAAACAAGGAAGCGGCCAAACAAGGAAGCGGCCAAACAAGGAAGCGGCCAAACAAGGAAGGGGGCAAACAAGGAAGGGGGCAAACAAGGAAGGGGGCAAACAAGGAAGGGGGCAAACAAGGAAGGGGGCAAACAAGGAAGGGGGCAAACAAGGAAGGGGGCAAACAAGGAAGGGGGCAAACAAGGAAGGGGGCAAACAAGGAAGGGGGCAAACAAGGAAGGGGGCAAACAAGGAAGGGGGCAAACAAGGAAGGGGGCAAACAAGGAAGGGGGCAAACAAGGAAGGGGGCAAACAAGGAAGGGGGCAAACAAGGAAGGGGGCAAACAAGGAAGGGGGCAAACAAGGAAGGGGGCAAACAAGGAAGGGGGCAAACAAGGAAGGGGGCAAACAAGGAAGGGGGCAAACAAGGAAGGGGGCAAACAAGGAAGGGTGTGAGAAAGTGTAAGAACAACCGATAGTTTCATTAGGAAGGGCATGGGTTTACATAGTTGAGCTAGGATGTAGGAGCCATGCCAACATTATTGGCCCCCACCAATAAGTTGGGTTGAGGAGTTATTGGGGGGACCAATAATGTTGACCAAAAGTGGGTCAACATTATTGGGGGGGCCAATAATCTCCCAACCCAACCTTGGGGGCCCAATAATTGGGCCAAGGTTGGGTTCCAACCTCAAACTAGGGTAAACCCTAGTTGTGCACCCAAACTAAGTTTGGGTGCCTATCTCTAGTCAAAGCTTATATGATGATGCAGGTTACAATGAAGATGGTAATCTGACACAACCCCTTAACCTGCAGAAATCCATAGGCTTTGGAAGAGAGAACGCAACAACCCCTGAATCAGCCACCGCGGGGAGCAAGTCCCTGAAGGCGCAGGAGCGCAGAGTGGTTAGAGCGATGGAGAGCCTTGGTGAAGAGGTCAGCGAGGTTGGCGGACGAGTCGATTTTACGAACAGTGATGTGACCATCTTGCACAAGATCGCGGACAAAGTAGTAGCGGAGTTCGATGTGTTTGGAGCGACCATGAAAGACGGCCTCCTTGGTGAGGTGGATGGTACTATCGTTGTCACACCACAGGGTGGGGCAGGGCTGTGGTGAGCCAAGGTCGGTGAGAAGATAGCTAAGCCAGCGTGCCTCTTGAGCCGCCATGGTGACTGCGTACAGCTCGGCTTCGCAGGAGGAGAGGGCGACGGAGGAGGAGCGAGTGGAGCGCCAGCTGATGAGGCCGCTCCCAAGGGAGAAGCCATATCCTTGAGAACTGCGATGGTCCGGCTGTGCATCCGCCCAAGATGAGTCACTGAAGCCTTGAAGAACAGGTGGGTCCACACCACCAAGCGTGAGGCCATAGTCCTTTGTGCCTTGGAGGTAGCGCAGAACACGCATGGCCGCCTTCCAGTGCTCCTCACCATGCCTGCCAGTGCCAACAAACCGCGCCAGGACACTGACGGGGTATGCAAGGTCGGGACGAGTGCAGACCATGGCGTACATCAGGGCCCCAACGAGTTCTGCATAGGGATGAGGGGAGGTGACAGGAGTGGCTGGAGGGGACAGCCGATG